CCAGGTATAACTTATTTGCTTACTTCAACATAATGCAAAATATAACTAGACAACTCAAAACACACACAAAACCAAACAAAAGATTCAGCAAGAACAGACCACGCACCTGCCTAGCAGCAACCTCACGAGAAGGAAAAGAATATAACGGATTACAGTAAGTATTATCCAAGTACAAACTATCAAGTTTCTCTTGCTTGAGAGCATTAAGTAGCATATTCCTTGCAATCTGCGCTCTCCTACTCGTTCTCTCCCATCGAAAATCACCCGTATAAAGCATGCATCCGAACTCACCACGAAATAAATACATCACAGCACCTGCAGGATTCGCACTAAAGCAATCTCATTCAGGACTTTTATCAAACCTTTGGCGATCAACTAATAACAATAAAAACGATTCACCAAAAGCCTAGAATTTCAAATTGGAATTACCGGGGCAATGGTGGGCGTCAATGGCCATGACATGGACGGTGATGGGCTGGCCAGACGATGGGGAGAAGAGCGGGAGAGTGTACCAATGGCCGAGGTCGAGGACGCGGAGGAGGGAGAGCTTAAATTGGGGGAATTTCAAAGGAAAGAGCTTGGCGGTGATCAGGGAGCAGAAGAGCGGACCCCATTTCCAGGTCGGAGTAAGGCCGCGTGTGTGATCGGCGTGGAGGTGCGTTAGGAAATAAGCTTGGCTGCCTTGGCTCCACCGGTCCACCGATATTATTCCGCTCTCCATTTTCGGGTGGACATGAAAATTAATGTTCTGTTTCTTTCTGGGTTTTCAGTCACTTAATTACACGAGAATTTAGGATATCTTTTCTGCTTTACTTTTCGGGGGGATTTGGGGCCGCCGGGGGGGTGGTGGGGAACGGTGGATTTTGGATGTGGGCGGTTTGAGGCTGGCGGAGGCGCCAAGGCGAAGAGTGTAGATGGGGTTGGCGGGGGATTTTCGAATTTGAAATCTGAAAATTTTAAGAAGAATGAGAATCACATCCAAGCGACGTCGTATTTGGAGAACCAGCAGTCTGGGTTGGAAGTTAGCCCATAACATTTGCGTTGCGGGACGAGCCCCACTACATCTCCCTTAGCCTTTTGGCCCACATTTCTAGTTTGAACTATTGAGCCCACGTACTTTTTTCTTTTTAATTTTTTTTCATAATCTTTTTTATCAATTAGATTTCCCAGTTGGAGTATAGTAGATGAAGACTCTTGCCTCAAAATATATTAATCTGACTTTTCTAACTTGTAAGTTGAAATCAAAATTGCTTAATGATGCACACATTGAATAAAATTCAAAACAAGGCCTTTTCACCAGCAAATCAAGAACCAAATAGTTTATTTGTTGGCATATATAGGCATCTTTTTGACAAAATTGCAGTCCTACAAATTTCAAAGCCCAATAATATATGAATAGCTAGAAAATTAGTATAAACAAACACATGTATTACTTTAAGCCATTATAAACATAATTGTTAGTAGTTATTTTAATTATTTTGTTTAATTTCTTTTGATAAAGTGTTCTACTCTCTTTGTTCAAAAATATTTATCGCATTTCGGGGGTCCAATTTTTTAAAAATAGTGGATTGATAGTAATATTAGTGAATTTGGTTTCAAAATTACCCTAAAAAATTCAAATTTTAAATTTAAATTTAGTATGAAATATAAATAAGGATGCGGATAAAATTTTTTTTAAAAAAAGAGCAAAAGTAACTTTGACTTTAGTAAGATGACAAACATTTCGAGATATCCCAAAATAGAAAACATAACAATTTTAATGGGACGGAAGAAATATATCAAACTAACAATTAGTTTCCTTATAAAAGTATACCATTAATATATACTTTACCATATGATTAGTACTGCTTTTGAATAACAATTATATAAACATTAACTTTTCTTTTAACAAGACTCTTATGATAAACCAACTCTTAGTTTCTTTGATTACTAAACTTTAAATATCAACTAAGTTATCACTGTACATGTTACACATGAAATGAAAGTCAAATAGAACAAATAAAAAATAATTTCAACTATCATACAAATTGAAGAACTTTCAATCACAGTTTTGAGTTTTGACGCCTCACATTGATAGTAAATAGAATGTTATAGAGTCTAATTTTCACATTTTTCTTTATACTTTGTCTTTCTTCTTAAAAATTTGTTATTCCTAAGTATAGTCTATTGAATACTCATTTCACATTTAGTATGTTTTATTTGCAAAAAAAAAAAAAAAAATTTGGTTATCATATCTTCGATTATTCGTTCCCTCAAACTAAAATCTTAGATCCGTCACTGAATGGCATAATGGTCACGTATCTAATTTCAAACCTTTTCTCTTTTTTTTTTTTTTGTCTTTTCTAATGATCTATTTCTCAATTTAAAGAAAGAAATTAATGTGGTATGATTTGTGAACATCACATCAAGAGCCACACACAATGCACATTTATTTTCTTATCTTGGAAAATAAGAATGAATACTTGATGCAAGAAGCATGGTCACATCATGCAAGCATGATTAGCTGTTCCGCGTTACCGTGTATCCCCACCCAATCGCTCTTTCAACTGAAATCGTTCACGTAGCTATACATCTCAGTGTTCTCGTGACAAAGACGAAACCTACAGCTATTGGCACGGTTCTCCTCCGTCCACATAAACTGAAGTCTACGTTTTTGGAAAACTCCGCTGATTTCAAACTTATTTATTTCTTTCTTTACCTGTATAACGTGCCAACTCTATATTTGTCAGCGTATGAAGCCAAGAAAAGAAATGAAAAACAAGAAGAAGAAAGGGTTTAAATTTAAAAGCTTTGAAGAGAAAAGAGGAGATAGTAAGATATATTAAGAGCAAAGTTTCATCCTTCTTCTCTTTAGCAGAAGGGCAATTGCACAGTTTAAGAGAAAAGCTTCCCCTGTTTCTTTTATTTATCTTCCTAGAACCAGAGTCTGACACAAAAGAATTTATTTTTTGTCTAATTTTCCTTACCGTTTCTTTGCATTCAAACTAAGCGTTAAGAAGTCTCATTCTAGCCCTTTTCAACAAAGCTGGCAACTCGTAAACTTGATAGCTAGGGAACAGATGATAGAACTAAGAGTAATAAGCCAAAAATTGAAAGGACGAGAGTGAAAGATCAACCACGAAGCCACTTTTCCCTTTACTCCCAAATGCACCTCTGCAGCTACCGTCTAAACCACGGTATGTATACTTGAATCTTCAAGCAATGATGCCAAGCTATCACAGTCATAACTTCATTAGTTTGTCCGATCAATCGTTTGACATCGTTACTAGGACGGATTTAGGGAAAAAATGGTTGATGATCCGTTGCTACATTTGGCGAAACGAGCTTTTACAGAGTCGAACTTAATTAAGCTGTGGTTGTTAAATATAATTTTTAGTATATACTGTTCTAAAATTTAAGTAGAATATCTTTCTCCTTGGGAGGAAGATTCAATTAGTTTCTTGATCTTGTTGCGTTTCATGGATTTTTTTTTTCCTTTGATTTCTGCGTAATAAGTCTCTTTTAGGATTTTCTAATGAAGTATTTCTCCTCTAGAGGTCATCCAGTTCAGACTTTTTTCTCTCTCTCTTTTAGAGATTGCTAGTGAGAGTGGTTTTTTTTTTTTTTTTAGTTTTTTTGGTTAAATTTGATTTTTTTTTTTTTCAGATTTGATTCTCAGATTTAGTCCATCAGATCTCACTATTATATCTGAGGTTGAAATAATTGATTACCATATTTGATGGTTGGAGATATTCTTTGGAGTTGAAGCAATAGTGTTCTATTTGAGATCGAATATGTTTGGAATTTGACAGTGAAAATTATTATTAATTTTTTGGATATGTCATATTTATGTATTTTTTTTTTATCATTAGTGTAGATTTATTGATAAAATAAAGATGTGTTTATATATATATATGTATATATATACATATATATTATAAAGTCTAGTTTTGATAGCTATGTAGTCGAGTTGGACGTATTAGCAAATGTTCAATCGTATTCATAGTAGTTAAATGACAAATCAAATCTGAAGCAAGTCTCAGTCAATCAGGTTCAAACGTGCATTGAGAAGTTAATTAGTTTGTCTTCTTTCGCTCTAAACAACATAGAAGTGAGAACTTGAGTTGTTCGTTCCCTACTTAGAATCGATGGTACTGTCACTTTCGGTTCTTCATTTTTCTTTGTTTTTTCTTTTCTTTTTCTGCCTCTCATAGATGAATGACAGCTCAGAAAGGTACAACTGATGAACTCGTGGGTTGCATTTGATAAAACTTAAATCTGAAATCTGAATTCATTAAGTTGTTAAGTACTAAATGTAATACATCTAAATATATATCATATTAATTGATAAGTAAATAATTTATTACTTATTTTTAGGAGAAATTTTTGTTTAAAAAATTCAGCGTCATTTAATTAATTCAAATATTTAATTTTTTTGGTTATCAAATGCGTCTGTTAATATTTGAATCTATTAAATTTAAAGGCTGAATTGAATTATCAATCAGTTTCTAACTTTTATTTCTGTATCTAAATACTTGTAGTTCTTATGCAAATAGACAGGGTGTACATCTGAATCTAGTGATTTATTGCCCCATAAAGAACTTACAAGCTAAATATTTCATCATCTACCAAAAAGAAGCAAAATTTAGTGTGTTTCTTTATCTCTCAATCCTCAACTCGTAAACAAATTTGCACCCCTAAAATTAATCTCAAATCTCAACCCTTTGTAGCCAAAACATTCTAATTAGGAATATTTTAAACATTCTCTCACTTTCACACCATCAATTTCGGCCTATTTCTTTGCCTTCCAACAAAACATCTAATTGTCACTTGCCCCAAAAAAAAAAAAAAAGAAAAGAAAAAGAAAACTAATTGTCACTAGTTACCACAAACAAAACATATTCCACAACCCAAACCAAACCCCCCCCCCCCAAAAACAAAAAAAAAGAAGTCTTCTTATTAGTTGTTCTCTATTTGTTTGATTATGCATCTCCCTATATGTATGTGTATATATATTAGTATGAGGCTTAAAATTGCATGGTAAAGATCACTACAACCTTAGCAACTTTGCAAAGGCAAAAATTAAATCCATACAAACTCAAGCAACCACCACCACATTCATGAGTTCTCAACAAGAAAACGACCACCACCACCCCAACCTCCTTCCACCGGTCCAAGTCAAGCCTCCGCCCACCTCCCCAGCCTTCTCAATCACCTTCTCCACCCCAACATCCGTCAGCCCTTTGACCCCAACCCACCGCCGTATCGCCATTGCCGTAGACCTCAGCGATGAAAGCGCTTTCGCCGTGAAATGGGCAATCGAAAACTACCTCCGCCCGGGCGACGCAGTCATCCTCCTCCACGTCCGCCCGACCTCCATCCTCTACGGAGCTGACTGGGGGTCCAGCACCCCCACCTCCACCGTTACACCTCCATCCTCTCCTTTCCAAGCCCACGCCACCTCTCACGACCAAAAACTCGAAGAAGATTTCGATAACTTGACGAACTCGAAGGCCACAGGCTTAGCACAACCATTAGTAGAGGCCCACGTGCCATTCAAGATTCATATAGTGAAGGATCATGATTTGAAGGAGCGGCTGTGTTTGGAGGTGGAAAGGTTGGGGTTGAGCGCGGTGATCATGGGGAGCAGAGGCTTTGGGGCGTCGAGGAAGAATAGTAAAGGCAGGCTTGGGAGTGTGAGTGATTATTGTGTGCACCATTGTGTGTGCCCGGTGGTGGTGGTGAGATATCCTGGGGACAACAATGAAGGCAGAAATGGCGGTGTTGAGGTTGTGAAGAAGACGGCTGCCGTGATTAATGAGGCGGTGCTCCACCCTCTTCCAGAGGAGGAGCATGAAACGAACGAAGAAGATGCATGACCTGTTGCTATAAGAAGTTAGATATGGTTTTAACAAAAGCAGATGTTTGTATTAAATGAATTCCTGTTTTCCCCATTATTTTCTGATTTTGATCACCTTGCTCTTTTCTTCTCCAAAAAAAAAAAAAAATCTTGGATTTTCAAGTTGTCCGCATCTTTGTTTTTGAATAGCACCATAAGCATAGTATGTACTACATAGATATACAAATGTACTGTATAATATACAGTATATGTGTGTATAGGTTAAATTGTCTGTATAACATAGCTTTTATTCAGAGTTACCTCAAGAGATGTAGAATTGGATGATATTTTTATCCTAAGGCAGTGATTAACAAGTCAAAATACTCGAGTTTTCCACAGAAGCAGAGCAATTTTAACGTTTCTCTTTCTCAGAATAGGGTCCACACCGCAAAAATCACCTAAAGATTGTATAGGAATTACTGGAAATCTGGAATGAGAAACACTTTAATTTCCACCATTTTGGTTGCAGTGATTATAAAACATGGGCAAATGACCGAAGTTTCCCATTTTGTTTGCAGTGATATCTGCAGAAAAAAGGGATTCTGAGGGAATGGAGCCGGGAATGTAATCTGCCTCTTTTTTCTGTAGGATCAGTTCCGTTGTATTCATAATGATGCAAAATTTGTGTATTCTTCTTTCTCCATCCAGAGGGATTATTATGTTGTCATTTTCACCACTAGATTAGGAGCTTCCTCGTTTGAAAAGCCAGACATGACTGCTAGTTTCCTGCACTCTTTTACGTGTTTATTCCCCGAGTTTCATTCTGCACCAGTCATTTTGTTTACACCAAATGTTGTATGTCAATTTACAGCAAAAATTTATAAAGAATACAACAACCGAACTAGGGCTGCAAACGAGCCGAGTCGAGTCGAGCTTTGAGCTAATCGAGCCGAACCTTAGCTAAATTTTATCAAGCTCGAGCTCGAGCTCGAGCTCGACGAGCTGGCAATTTTCGAGCTCGAGCTCGACTCGAATCAAGTCGAGCCGAGCTCGAGCTCGAGCTCGAAAAAAATAAAAAAAAATTATTTTATTTTTTTAAAAAATAAATAAAATAATATTTTTTCTAAATAAATAAGAAAATATTAAGGATATATCCGTAATTTCACTATGAAAATAAAAAATAAAAAATATATATATATAATATACGTAATTTTATTATTAAATAAAAATAAAAATAAAAAAATATATATATATATTCAAGCTCGCGAGCCGGCTCGCGAGCTAACGAGCTTAATATTTTGAGCTCGAGTTCGAGCTCGAGCTCGACTCGAGCTCGATTAATGTCGAGCTCGACTCGAGCTTGACTCGAGCCGCTCGCGAGCGGCTCGCGAGCGGCTCGATTCGTTTGCAGCCCTAAACCGAACACAATTGCACCAACCCAACAAGCAACCACTCAAGAATATATTATGGGAGAGAACAAGATCTCAAGCAGGCTTGGATCAATCATTATTCCTCTAGGGCGAGTAAAAGCACTGGTTTTAAAAGCATTAGGAGCCCAGACTGGTCGTTCAAATATGACCCATTCCTCAAATCCAAACGAGAACTGACATATCTGCATACACTTGTATGGGAGTGATTTTCAATGGGTTGAATATAGAAACAAACACAGCAACCTCAATAACAGAAATAGAACTCCTCCATTATTTCATAATCCTCGCACCAAAAACTATGACGACTAAATGGGTGACAAGTAGCCCGACTAATAAGAGGAAAAACAAAGTCAAAACAGCAACAAAAATTCAAATTTAAAGAGCAGCAATAGTTCCCTCACTGCGGCTTCTGCGCATGGAGAGTTCAGATCTGAAGCTCAGAAGCTTGTTGCTAAAATCATACACCTGATTCTGCTGAGTCGCTGGCTTAGTTCCACTAGGTGGCAGTCGCGCATGCCTGCTCTTGGAAGGCTTTGACAAGGCTGTTGCTTGACCCCTACGACCGTGAATTGACGATGATGCCACCTTGTTAGCAGCACCATGAGCACCCCTGCGCATCGCCTTGGCGTCTGCTTTGAGGCCACGATCAATCTGATAAGCACTAATACCTAATCGAGCCGACCTATCTGCTGTGTCCTTCATTGTGCCAACTTTAATAGGTTGCCGATTGAAATATGTTAAATGAGGAACAAGGCCTTGTAAGTATTTTTTCACTTGCTCATCACCAACATTCTTCTGGGCTGGGTTCCCTTCAAGGCTAATTGCTTGTAAAGAATTATAATTAGCAGCGAGCTGGCCCAGACACTTCGTTGTTGAGATTTTGTTGAATCGCAGGTCCAGAACATTCAACTTAAGAAGTCGATGAAGACCTTCAACCTCACTAATTTTATTACCGGCCAAGTAAAGCTCTTTCAAGGAGGAACAATAAGCAAGGCCTATTCACAATAAGAGGAATTGAGTACACAGAGACTACAGAAATATGCAAAAGCACACAAAATTAAAGCAGGTGACAAAACTTTGATGAACAGTTCTACACTATCCACATCAAAGGAAAAAAAGGAACACACCACAAAATAATAAATAAATAAAAAGGCAAAACGCAGAAATGAGAATCTTACCGGACTAATGTACAGTAACAGAATACATGCCTAACAATGAAATCAAGAATTTATTGAGCTCCTCAGTCAAAAGTAAATTACCCTCCTTTCTTACTTTGCAAGAGCAAGTAAAATGAATTCTCGACCACCAGTATTTCATCATCCTACCAACTTAAATAATTAATAAAGCAGGCACAAGATTTACATTTTTCAGAGAGCAATACCACACAAATAAAGAACGGAAAACAGACAATTTTCACCTTACTTTTTTTTTTTTTTGCAACAGATGCACTGAAAGTGCAAAAAGCTTACCACAAAAAACTAGCAAAAGTTGTGGTTCCTAGTTGAGCAAGTTGGAAGCAAGCTAAAAACCATGCACGTACTTGTTACCAATCATTTTTGATATGTTAAGAGTTCTCCAATGGTTTTAGCACTGAACTCCATGTGAAATTTCTTTACTTTAATATATTTTTACCATGTCTAATTCTAAGCTTTTATTTGTTTGTAACATGTCTATTCTAACCACTACTCGGAAGAGAGGACTTTGAATATTCGGTCCAGCGGTGCTCTATATGCCAATTATGTCAATCGCATAGAAAAGAATAACCTCAGAACAATGTATTACATACCATGACCGATTCGCAGTATACGATTGTAGCTTAGGTCAAGAACACGTAGGCGTGTAAGATCTCGCAAGCCTTCTATTGTGGAGATGTTGTTTTTTGATAAGTTCAAAATGTGGAGTCCTCGAGGGAGAGATCCAGCAGTTATTCTAACTGGTGAATAACATTTAGAGTGAGATATTGATAGTCAACCCACAATTCAGCAGAAAGAAAGTAAATCCTATTGACATGAGATAGTTCTGAACCAAAAGAAGGAAAAAACAAAAAGTTTGATAAGCTGGCAACATTCTTACCTATGGCATTTCCAGATAAATTAAGTGCTTTAAGGCTAGAAAAAGCACTCAGAAATGGAATAACAACCAAGCCATGATTAACCAGCTGAGCAGCAGTGGCTGTGGGACTCAATGAAGAGATATATTTTTTTACAGCTTCCATGCCAGGATTGACCTTACCCTCTATTGATGTAGCAGGGACATTCAAAGAACTTTTGCCTGTTGATACAACATGATCTTCTGAAGCAGGTAATTCGTTAGACTCTTCTAAAGGACTGCAGTGCTGAAGATCAATTACCCATTCCTCAATTCGTTTAATCTTGAAATCCCTGCTCGGTAACTCATCCCACCGGCGAGATGAAGAATTCCCGGAAAGATGATTATCCATGTTCACTTCATCTCCCATGGGTATAATCCAGTCTTTTGCTGAACCAACATAGTTATAGGTAACAAAGTTGTCATCAGCAGGGTTACCACAAGCATTTTTATCATGAATAGTACTTACGAGATCACTTCTTGCCTGATGCTGCAATAATTCTGTTCCTACTTCATGCATCAAGATATCCCTCCATCTTGAATCTAGAACATTCAGATCCTCAGCAGACCTAGAGCGAGGTAAATGGTTCACAGTGGGCTGACCAGAAGAACTGATGTTGGGCAAGGAAATGGATCTCACAAACACAGGGGGCGTACGAGGTGTATGTTCACCAGATAATTGAGCATCAGAATTCTCATGAGACTCCTTTTCCCTATCTGGTGTATGTTCACCAGACAATTGAGCATCAGAATTCTCATGAGACTCCTTTTCCATATTTGGAGCATCTCCCATGGAAAATGTAGATCCAATGTTGTCACAAGTAGCATGAACAGAATCAGATGGAAGAGTTTCATGAAACTGGTTTAGCAGACTAGTCCGAGAATCCTTGGCTCTGCTAGGAACAAGAGACCCACAGTTATCAGGAGAACCATCACCAGAGAACTGTTGATCTATCTCATCTTCAGAGCCACTACCACCAGAATCCCTCCCTTTCATGTCTAAACCACTTCCTAAAGACTTAGATTTCTTAATAAGTGCAGCCTTAGGAACTGAAATATCACAGACCCTATCAACCTCCTCTGATTTAGAGTCGGCCTCAACAGCACAGGTATCTTTTGGACAATCAACAAAACTGCTAAGAGTATCTCTCTCAACCTTCAACTTTGAGGAGGAATTTTCTGCTGTCAAGGAAGTAAATTTCTGCAGGGCCTTGTTCTGTGAACAATCTTCCAGGTTCTTCTGCATTGCTTCAGCAGATAGATGAACAGTTTTCTGATCCAAAAGATAACACAAGTTAGATGGAGATTAACAATACAAAGAGATAAAAGAACAACACAACCCCACATGCTAGTTTCAAAGTTTTATCCACTAACCTTCTGCTTGTGCGACTGCATGTGAGTGTTGAAGCATGAAAACCTAAACATCATTGTAAGTTGACGGTTACTCAACTCACATGAGAAACTACTTATTTTGCAATCCTAATCACTATTAACCAAAAAAATTCCAGCTCAATTATGAGCACAAGTTTCTAATACAAAATTACATCATATACTGTTGCGAGAACTTAGCCGTGGGTGACCTTAGCCATAGTCAAGCGATAAACCCTCTGAGACACGGCACAACCTCCAGATGTATGATGATGTTGATCTTCCTAAAACACATGGTGATAGCACTTTCTCATAACAAGCACCCCACACCTGCTTAGAGGTGCGAGAAAATTTTGATGTCGTTGAAGCGGCCAGACTGAAAGAAGATCTTTGGAACTCTAAGAACTATATCTCTATTATGCATAAGAGACCACCACCTGAAAAAAAGAAAAGGAACAACATCCATCAATAATCGTCAGTATACAGTAAGCAGATAATATCTCAAGCAAAAC